CTCGAAATGATCTTATGACTATAGATTTTCTACATCTATTTGGGTTCAGGCATACATGTGGGCAACCCAGTGCACGGTCACTGTCGAAATACGTGCTGTGAAAGGAGTGTCAACTTTCCATCGACTATCTTAAGCGACAACTGGTACAAAAATGGTCGATCCGCGTCCACTGCTGAGTTGAGGTTTGTGGACGCAACATCAGACAATGTCTGTCTCAATGTCTGAGTTTTGCGCTTGCCAGAAATAGGCCGTTTTTGAGTACAACTGTAGCAGGCGATTGCCCTGATCTCTTTGTTCACCTAGGATTCCGAAAGTGCTACATGAGTATCTTTTTGTCCGACTCAGCCTACTTTTGCACTGAAATCATCTGCTACGATAACCACATTTGAACACCTGCCTTTGATTAGAAAACTAGATAGTTTTGATGGAAATCATCCTTACCTTCACCCGATCTTCAGTTACTGGGTGCATAATTAGAGATTACAACAGACAACGACGAGTTTCACTCCGTTCATGCCGTTCAGTGAAGGTAGATAGTGTTGTGATGCCCCAGTTTTGTATAAAACGTTATTTATGTGGACATTTTTAAAGTGTCATTCCCATACCATTTTTTACGGAATGACTAGTAGTCTATTTTCTACCCCCATTGTAGTGTAAATCGCTAATTGGTTAATCTTTACTCTACTATGTAAACGCTTCAAATTGAGGACAATGTCATTTTCCATGCGTGTACTTATTCATATATCTTGGGACTGATTATCATATTATATTCACGGAGCAATAAACTCTCTCATCATCCAGCTTCGGTTTTCTCTCTTTTCTTCGCAGGGTTGCAGTCAGTGGCTCTTGCCTACTAAGTTAGCTGTCAGCTAAGCGTGCGTACTATATTCGTTCGGAATATATATAACCGTTGGCGTACGAAAATATAACAAATAGTTGTTGTGAGCTCCAGAGCTGTAACAAATTAAGATAATGTAGAAGTACTTACCGAGGAATATGGAGGAGATTGGAAGGTAAAGATGCGGAAGCTTGATAACAACTTGAGAGAAGTAGATTGTGGGTAGAGTTGTGAGGGTGGTTGACAGCTGCCGGTTGTCCATATCATAGAAGTTTACTTTTGAATGAGGTACCTGAAGAGCAAGGTAGGTTAATAACAGTAGTGCATGACCACAGAGCAGAAGGATATCAGCATGTGGCCAGTTAAACAGAGACATAATTATAACAGATTAATGAATTCCGAGATGATTTATCAGACAGGTCAATTTTTGGTTCTTGAAAAACTAGATCACCAGTCAGTTGAACAAGTCAATGTAGTTAGATAACAGACTTTGAAGCGAATACATATTCACTTACAAATTATTCAGCATAGTTATTTAATACCGTAAATAAACCTGGAGCTGCAAACTCCCTTATCCTGGCCACCTGATATGATCTTTAGTGTCAGTATCGAGTGAGCGTAGGCGGCAGCTGTTGATGTATATCTATAGTGTGGTGAAAACGTTTCGTAACGCACCAAATTTCTGAACCATATGGAAGGACTGACTTGACGTTAGTGTTGAAAATATAGATCTTGTTCTTTATGCTGAGTGCAGTGCAGTAGATCTCCACACTGATTTCAGATTGATGAAAGCCTGTCTTGATTTTCCTATCCTGGTTTTGACGTCTTTATCTATGCCACCAGTATTTGAAACGATGCTGCTTGGTAAAAGAAACAGGCAACTTGCTTTAGATTTCTTCCGTTGATAGTGACTGGTGCTTGTTGTCATCGTTGTTAATTGGGTATCTTCATCAACTCTGTCTTTTCTACGTCCGCCTGAAGTCCCGTTGTCGCTGCCTCTTCTGCCAGACTGTTAGTTTTCTCCCTGTAGACCTTCGAGTTTGTGCGACGAGACATTAGACATAAATCATCATCAGTTAAATTCAAATCTTCTAGGGTCTTTTCATAGTTCAAACAGCGCATGCCCACCTTCTCGCTCCTTACGGTTCCTTGCATGATTCAGTCCAATCGTTCACAACCTTGTTTTACTCCTGTCTTCACTTCAGATGCATCACTGAGCTTTCCATATAGCTGTTGAGTGAGGTTGGTAAAGGTTTGTGGCACTAAAACCGTAGTTTTGAAGCCGTTGTCAATTTACTTCTCGGTCGACGCTGTCGAAGGCCTTTTTAAAGTAGATAAAGTTGATGTAGAGAGTTGACTGCCATTCGATGCTTTGTTCTATGATGATGTGTAGCATTTCAATTCGATCCGCACATGATTTGTCCTTCCCGAATCCACCCAGACTATTCCGGTCGTACTTTTGAATGCAGAGTATCTTATAGTCTCTCCAATATGATGCGGCATAATATTTTACTTGGTGTGGACAGGAGTATGGTTCTGCACCAGTTCTTGTTCTTCCAAAGATTTAGGTCAACCCTCTTTGGGAGTTTGATAAGGTAGCCCTTCTTCCAATCAGTTGGCAGGTACCTCCCCTTTCTTCCTTCCTTCCTTCCTTCCAAACCTTCTGCAATAGTGGTGTGAGCATGTCCTCTGTTGTCTCTGGGTCTGTTTTCAGTACTTCTGGTGGAATCCCATCTGGTCCTGCTGCTTTCTCGGATTTCAGAGACTTTATGGCGTTCAGAACTTCACCTCTGTTTTTGTCGGAGGGCTTGTGTTCACTGGTAATTCTGCGGTTGCTACTGGTATTTCTGGACCAGTTGCAGGTAATGGTGGTGGTGGTGGTGGTCGATTCAAGTTTTGTGAAGTGGTCAGCCCATCGTTCTTTGTTTCTCCTCTTAGCTAACTAGGTTCCCTTCACTAACTTTCATTGGTTTTGTCCGTGTTGACCTCTTCTCTTCCAGATAGTAACCTGGTTATTTGATATAATGTTGTCAGATCTCTCCTCTTACCTGCACTCTGTTCTGCTTCACTTGCCAATGAGTCATAGAAGTGTGTTTTGTCTTCGCGTGCACTCTCCTTCACTTCTTTGTCCAGTGTAGTGTTTTATAGGTTGTGTTCAGTTCCTCTTTTCGTTGTTCATCATTCCACTGCACTAGTTCGTCTTCTACTCCATCATATTCCTCTCCCTCCTCTGTGTCAGTCTAGATACATTCCTTGTCTTCTTTCTTCTTCCTTCCTAATACGGTTATTCAGGTTTCCTTCCATGTCGCTTTCAAAGAGTTCCAGTGTTCTACCACGCAGGATTCCTCCTCGGAGATGTCCCTAATGTCTCTCACTTTGTCCTGATGACTGACCACGTCAAGATATCCTTTGTAGTTTCGTCCTTCAGTCTCTCTTCTGGGTGTTCGACTTGAACTGTGGTCTATCACCAACTACTTTGAAGGCTTTCAACTTGATTTCGAAGGTAGGCTCCTTGCAATAGACAGTGAGTAGTGTCAACCTAAATCTACTCCCCTTCTTCATCTGAGCTTGTGTCCAGTAGGCTGACTCGGTCTCCACTTTGTCGGATTGAAATGAAGTCGATCTGGTGAAATTCATGTCACTCTGTGAATATCCTTGTGTTTGTACACACTGCCTCCAGTCACCAAATCGTTGAATGCGCAGAAACCTCCAAACACTTCTCCATTCTCATTGATTTCACAGAATGCCTCTCGACCCATGATGAGTTCTCTTCCTGTGTTGTCCACTCCCAGTTTGACATTCACTTCACCCCACCCATTAGAATGGATTCTGATGTCACCTACTGAGGTGGGGTCTTGTCCAGTACTGATTGCAGTTGTCTATAGAATTCCTCCTTCTTCTCTTCATCTGCATTATTTGTAGGTGCGTGGTGTAGCACTGTATGATTGTGACTTTCCTTCCTTTTGAGCTGAATCCATCTTGCTGTCATGATGCTGATCGTTGAGGAGGAGATTGGTTCCCACTGCCTGATAGAGAGCGTTCGATGCTCTTGGGAGGGGGACATCATGATAGCCACTCGAAAACTCAGTGTGCTCGTGGTTGTCGTGTGGGTGACAATATAGGAGTAGATTATTGACTCCTCTCCAGTTGACGGTTTGGAGAGTCCACTTCCATTCTATCAACAGATTCCTCACAGTTTCCTGGCACTTCTATTCTATACCTTCTCATCTCTTTTGCAATCTGGGCAGCCTTGCTGGCCATCCAGCTTCAAACGTTGTGTGAACATTCCATATCCCTACCCTATGCTTACTTTTGCTTTGATCGAGAGAGAGAAGACACATCGACCAATTAACTTCCCAAAGGCAGGCTTTCACCAACCAGCGTCACTCCGTCTCCCCGATCTCAGCAAGGAATAAGTTCATTCTTATTTTTTTACATTCCTTTTGTGTGCTTTGAAGTTTCATTAGCGATTGGATTGGTTTTACGGTGTATGGTTGCCAGACCAATGACAAACAGACATCCTTTATCCGGACCTAGGATCGGCTAGTAACTTGTGAACTAGGAAACTGGGCGAGGTTGACAGCAGAATTAACAGCAACAAAACATATTCGAACACACAAACAAGAACATTTCGAGAAAGGGAACTGACAAATGAAGTTTATTGAGATATACAGAATTTTGAAGGTGTGAAGTGAATCCATCGATACCATGTCATCTGAAGACTCAAACCGCTGACTCCCATTAGATCCAGGTACCAATCACACAGTCTTGACTTCCATACACAGCTTATATCAGCGATTAGTGATTTCAGCTTTTACTACTTTCTTGATCTAGCTACTCTTAACTTTCTTGCAGCTGAAACTTGTTCCAATAAACAATACGCTACTTATTGAAAGAGTGACTGCGTATTTTTAGCATGTTTATAGGTCACCCCGAGTGTTGCAGGCAAACGAGGTAGAACAAGGTATGTAACTTCACCAAGAATCATGGAAACATTCGTTAGTGAAATCAATTTAAGCTGCACCAAGAGGGTTACTCGATTCACACTTCAAAGGTGAAGACATTCTACAAGAACAGTGACACTTCTTTCCATGACAATTTATTCATATTTTTTAACAAAAGGATTCATCTTCCTCCTCCTACATATATTTTTAGACAACTAATGAGACGTACAATTTGGCGAATAGTCTGGCAGTTTTTATTCGGTAAAAAATCTCAACTAACTGATGAACAGGTGGATAATATTTTAGAGGATATCGCTTCAAACAACTTAGAGAACCAACTCTTTCAAACACGACAACTTCTACCCTGGTTTTTGTGAGTTCTATATACATATTCCTTGTTATAGTTGTTCATGTGTTCACATCTTAACAGCTGTCATGTAAGTATTTGCATTGTTACCCGTATGAAACCTCATTTCCCGGATTCTAGGACTTCAGAAAGCATGGATTGATCACTGTTATGAACCAGATACCCCTTTTTAAATGTCAACTATTCACACTGGTACAAGCGTAATTGTGACGAATAGCTGCATATATGACTGCTTAAATGCAGCTGAAAACCATTTTGAATTGTGATGCTTTATAAATTTCAACAACTGGTGAACGAACACTACTGAAAATATTATTATCTTCTGGATGTTTGGGCGATGTACATTATTTTGGCAGAAAAAGAAGAAATACTTTCCAGTAGTGTAACGTCATCAAATGGTTCATTGATAAAATCATCGGATTTGGTCAATAAGCTTAATCTCAAGTAAAACTCTAACCATTTCAGTCATCCTACCAGATGCCTTTATCTTTGTCATCTTCATCCTATACAACTCAAAATGCAGTCATGGTTTACTCACTGAGTTGTTTCATATCACATCACACATTACTGTACAGTTTGTAAGTATTGTTAGTTTACGAGTAAAGGTGAGTATAAGATAATTCTGAAAGACTGTCAACCTGTGTATATAACACCATAAAGTTGGCATCTTCACACTGATATATTAGAATGCAGAGAGAGAGAAAGAGATTTTCGATTGTCGATTTACCAATCCTTCTGTTCACTTGTGTTGTCCAACATCCTAGTTATGTTTGGACTTAGATATAAACTAGTTCACAAAATGCAGTGGTGAGGGTTACTCATTGGACGGTAGGTTGTGCAAGTAAAATTCTAGATACTGGCCTTTATCTCACCTCTAATCAACAATACCCACCTAATAAGTAGAGTATTCTTAACAATACTTCAGAATTACACATCCTTTCCATCTGAAAAGTAACATTTATCAGTCGACAAGCAAGAATGACAACTTCTTTAGAACTAGTTTTTCACATAACTTCAGCCTACACAACTTCAGCTCTGAAATCATTAATTGTCTGTGAGCATGGAAAATATGTTACCAAGACTAACTAAAAAGATACGTAGGCAAATTTATACATTAAAACAGTAACCTCTCCGAATGATTTTGGATAAGTGATGGTGAACGCGAGATAATATCAACCAGACTTTTGTTTACACTGAGACTAATTAGCATGAAATATATTTAGCCTAACAGAAGGGTCTCCTGGATGAGACTTCATCAGAGAGACCGCGTTTCGAGTATCATACTGTTGAATACTGATGATGGCAATTAATATTTCCACGTGTTAATTTCATGCAGTAAATGTCGACTACTCAATAAAAGACAGTAACATGATGTCGGGTGTATGGACAAAATGAAGGTAGAAGCTGACACAAGAATGCATCTATTCAAGTCTCCACACTTCACAGTAGCAGATAAGGAACAAGTCAACAGAAAAGACTGACATCAATGTAGGCAAATTGTGTAGGAGGGGAGGCAAATTGAAGACGGATGATGAAAATGTTCAAGAATTCGAAGATAACAAAGAGTGAACATATTTGGACCATTGTGACCGATTTTTGGCCGCGCCAATGAAGGTCACTAACCATTGAAACCTATCATCTTGAAGACTCCAAAAAGGGAGTCTTCACCTTCATACACTGCTCAGACCAAAAATCAGAGACTTCATGGATTGAAGCCATGTCTTGGTATGGCCACCCTGAATCTTCTTCCAACCCAGTCCAACTTCGGCTAACATTGCACTATGAGGTAGGCAGTGACTCGGCATCGGCAACACATGTTCAAGACACCTCAGTTGAGGGAGATTTACAACTCGTTATTTAGATGGCCAGATCGAGCTATAACAGTGAGATCATGGTTTGACTTTTGATACATAAAAATAGAAACAGACATGTTACTCACTAACACAACAATTGAGTGAAGTGTTCAGTAATTGAAATAGGGATGAAATGTAGTTAGCAGACAAGTGCTCTTTCTAAACCTGACAGACAGTCAATCAGATATACATAGGCTGCTGGATTATATCCAGTTACAGTTTCATTTGTTAAACTACACGGACTACCAACATGAAAACATTACTGCTATTAACAGTGAACTATCTTTGCTGAGCTTCACTCCAAAACTGTTAGGCGGCAAACGTGAGAACTGAAACTAGTGAAAATGTTGTTTGACAAATAGATAGCCATCACAAGACCACTGCATCAAAGTCTCATAAACCAACTAGGAAAGTTGACTAGGTTGTTGGGAAATAGTTTACGTGTGAAGTGAAGGAACATAAAATCAAGTTAGTCCACTGAGAATTCTTATTTTATTACCTTCATTATTCCAGTTCACAACATTCTCATTATTTGCGTTTAATTGTAGCGTGGAGATTTTTAGGCGTATACCATTTGCAAGACATTTATTTAAAGTTGAGCATATACTCAAAAGACACAAAGCTGTTCGACGGGAAATTGACAGCAATACAGGTGAACTGTCAAATACAAATTCGCTGTTTGGACTACTAACCAATGATGCGAAATTGAATTTAACAAGTAAATTTATTGTGGTATTATTTACTATCTGTAACCGTAGTATAGCTGATTTTTGTAAACCTTTTAAAAGCTTTGCAAGGCATCATTTATATGACTATTCTTTTGACTATCGACTGTCAGATGATGCGGTAATATCAGCATCGTTGATGTCGTCAGTAGTCGCTCCATGAAGTTCATTTGTTTACCAGAAGAAATATTTTTGAAAGACAGAGTTGGAAACCCTACAAACTTTCACTCCTTTTTTCGAAGTTTAGGAGTTAATATATTCAACAGCAGATATGGACTTAGTATTCGAAAATTTCAGTATTGTCTTCTTTGTCAGGTGAGTAACAATTAACGTATCTCTGTATGTGAAAATCAGTTTTGACTGAATTTCACATTCTAACGGGTGAAAAACAGGAAGGTAGATTTTCATGGTTAATTTCCCTGTCTGTGATTCTTATGATAGTGATGATCAAAAGATTACGAAAAGTTTTCATTATTTCATCGGGCAGTTTTGCATTATCTTCACTAGAATTAGTGTCTTTTGGCTTCAAATGTGGTTGGATTTTACAGGCTTATTGATGACTCATGTAGGTAGATGACATTTGAGAAGTGTAACATATTGACATGTATTCAGTGTAGCTGCCTAATTCTTGATGCTCATCACTGATGTTTGTGCTGATAGTGTTGTCTATAGTGACAAAGAGAGCTTCAGGATTAAACAATCCATGTCGGAGAACACAACACTGTCAGTATGTGGATTAAGTGTGCCATGCAGCAACCAAGGTGATTAGCTTACCAAACAGTGAAGGTTCGAATCATGTAGGGAACACAAGTGTCCTAGTGGTTATGGTAACGCTTTGCTGATCAGTGAAAAAGTACGAAATCAGGGTTCTAAGTTTCCTGCTGCTGCTTCTTGTGCCAAAAATTTCACATAGAAATATTGATATGTTAAGTCAGTTTTCGGACAGATCGACAGGGGCAGGTGCACCAACTGAAAACGAGGTATTTCACTCATTTTAACATTTAATGTGAATGACTCACCACTTCGAAAAGGATTTTCAGGATAAACACTTCTCAGTTCAACTGAATTCACTTATTTACTATTAGAATTTCAAAATGGTGTTTCCAATGGGATTTTGTGGTATTTTCGATGGTTGGAGGCAGTCGGCCAGAAGCACTGCACCTAGGTTTCGTGATTGGATAGCACTCGTCAGTGAGACGGGTCCGTAACCTCAGACGAACTGACGTCTCATCCGAGATACGAACACACGTCATCTAGTGTCCAAGTCAGTGATACTACCACTGAGATATTCAAGCTGTGACTGAGTCCCTTTAACATTGACTAGTGATAACCTCCATAAATTTAACATTTTTCAAAATGGACAGTGATGCTGAGTCCTCCAAACTGGAGGCCATGTTACAAAACTGACTGGTAGAATTCGGTTAGCACTCAAGACTAGACAATATGAAATTAGTCACCCTTCAGGATGAATTTGATTTGCCAGTGTCATTGGAATTAACGACTATCAGTATAATCTTTTTCAATAATTAATCAACAAACTCGTTTCAGACACTGAGTTGTCTTAGCTTAACATTTTGAGACTTAAATATCGTTGTTGAATATTCTAACCTCACTTGGGAAATAAAATAATTTATCAGTGAATTTAATGGTTATGAATTGTACTGCATATCTCATTGTACTTCACACTATCTAATTATGTAACAATCGGTTGTCTAAACTCCTGTTATTTTTCTACATATGAAAATCAATTCCGAAGAGAGTGAAATTTCACGTCTTTCATATGAATTAATGGCAGCTGGCACAGATACAACATCCTTGACACTTACTTGGGCATGTGATTATCTATCAAGAGCTCCACCACAAGACCCATTCAATTTGAGTCCCGATGTCATTGATATGGTGCATCGTTGGGCGAGTGTAGTTCCATTGGCACTACCTCATTTGGTGCATGAATCATTTGAAATCAATGGATATTGCATACCGAAATCGTCTATTCTGATATATAATCTTTATGCTGTGCACAACACACAACTGAGGAGATTGACTAATAAGGAGACGAAGCCGAAAGATACGAAACAGAGTGATACGCCGATCCCATTTTCCCTCGGTAAGTTATATCATACAACCTAAGAAATTGATTGCATTTTGAAAGGTTGATAGAGTAGAGAATTCCTCTATACTCAATGGTTGTTTTCATTATATGTCGACACAATCATGTGAAGACCTTGAGAACTGAAAGGCTGTTTGAACTTTGTTTGGAAATCTGCAAGACATTATGCATAACCACTTGGCAAGTCAGAGATACTGTCATCAGTGGTAGAAGGATTCGTGCAGTTGTTGAAGTCGTCAGCCTAGAATGGTTCATTATTCTTTTTTGTGTGTTGCACGCTCTTTACTTTAAACTCAGATAGATGAAGTGGTTTTCTTCATTCATTCACAGGTGCTAGAGCATGCCCTGGTTTTCGTTTGGCAAATACATTAATTGAAAAAGTTCTGACGGCAATCAATCAAGAGTTTATAATTCAACACTTTGTGCAACCGCCAATTGAAACAACCAATCCAAAGGATCAAGAAAGTCTCTCACCCTTTGGATTAACAAGAGTTCCATACAAATCTTTATATCTATTTTTCACTCGGACAAATGGACCGAGAAGAACAAGTAACTGAAGGAAATGTCTAATAATATACTTGAACAAGATGCCTCTCCTTTTGTGTGTTGAGAAGGAGAGTGAAATGTGACTGTTTTCATGAGTTTCTCATTGTTTATATATACATATGTATATATATATATATATATATATATATATATATATATATATATATATATATATCTTAACAAATACAATCATTGTAGTGACAGCTTGTGGAAATATATTATGATGGTATAACTGTAATCACGGCGTTTCTGTAATATACAGTCAGTTAAATTTGGAGTGGTAGATCCAATGTTTTGCATTCACGTTTACTTGCATAGTGGGTTGTAGTGGTCAAATTGCAGTTGATCTGTCTTACTGAAGGAAACGAGAAGACTGAGACGCTGGAAGGAATGTTTACTATTGACATCTTGTCCAGTAGCCATCAAATATTTTGCTCTTTTCACTAAGACAATCATTTGTATAATACGCCTCATTTCCTCTTCTACTTCTATTTTGATTTGCTCTTATTACGCTCAAATTGTCTCTGGCGTTTCTGTAGGCAGAATCTTTACCCATTAGTGGTAATTTCCTATGATTTCTACCGCCCCCTCAACATATACTACTTGTATCCATTCTGATCATCAGTGCCCGCTACACAAGTAGATCAATTCGATCCAGAATAACAACGGGAAATTACAATTACCAGTAAATAATAATAATAGCTGTTACCTGTTGAACAAGATGTAGCCCTCGTACTCCAATGGCCTAGTGGATATCGCTTCAGTGTATGCAAAGATTTTGGCTGGGCTCGAGTCTCAGTGGGAACAACACCATTCACTCTGGGTGCTGGTAAACTCAGCTGATGAGTCTTGAGTGAGGTTAAACATGATTCCTGAGTTCCACTACCAGTCACCAGCAAGCTAATTATGAACATCTTGGTTAAAACTAAGCAGAATATACATAGACATTACATATCTACAATAATCCAACTTCAATCCGCTCTACTGGTTATGCTTCTGTTTCACTTTCTCTGTGTAACGACAAGCAATATTCTATTCATCAAGCTTCACTTACAGTAATAGAGACTGAAACCTGCTTAGAAAATGCCTTGTACTTAATGCAAACACATTTTCTTGACAAAATGCAGAGGTGTGAATTATGAATCCGATTTCGATCCAACTTTCGACGATTACGTCGACATTTACAGATATGCAGGTCCTTAAAACTGACAAATGCCAAACCAGAAGGAATTCGTATCCGTGTTTTATTTACCAGAAACCACAATTTAGTAATGTACTTAAATTACTTTGATCGCCAAATTTCCAATTGTATAAGGAAACACCATTCAACATCTAAGATTAGGCATTCTTCTTTGTTCATCTGCACCAGGTTCATTTGTCTTGAATACTTGCACTTTCAAGGTGGCATAGAAGTCAAAATGAACGTACCGGTCAGGATGATGAGTACATGCATTGTTTTGAAGAAGTTTTGTCTGTAAGAGATGTTGTAGGTTTTGAATGAGTTCCTATGTCACAAGACATATCAAACGCATCTCTCCAAATAAAACTGACTGTTCGTGTTCATTCACGCCATTCTATATTCTAAAGACTGAAGCGTCAGTCAATAGTATAAGTGAAATGTAGTTTTATACTGGATTTGTTGGTTTGTTATGACAAAAATTGTTACAGTATTCTTTCCTTCATGACTTTTCGAGCATAAATTGTCATTGCTCATAATCGCTTCGATGCAATCACATAGGCTTTCAAAATCTGAATTTCACAGGCGTGTCACCTCATATTCTTTGTCTTTAGCCGTGGTAGAGATGAGGAAAATTTCATTACCTCTAGAAACAAAGAAAATGAGGAGACACAACCATAAAAATCAGATGTCAAAAGCTGCGTAATTACACTGATTGGATTAAGAGCAATAGTTTATGCCCCAAACGTCATCAAGTTATGATTACTGTGTCACTGTATGCTACTGTAGCGCACCTTCCTGGCACCAAAATACAACTAGGGATAGAATAAATAGATTAGATTAAATTAAGTAAATAAACCTCTAGCTCACCTACGGTTGCTTTAGGTGTTTTAAGTTCTGTTTTAACGAGCATGCATCTGAGCATGCTTCGGCGCTATCTTAAGCTCCTTTGTGCTGGTTAGCACGCACGTGCTCAGAGTCCCTAGTTCAGCCATACTAGCCAGATAAGTTGAATAAACTTTTCCCCGTATTCATCACTATCACATTTATTCTAAATAAATATATTACTTCTTCGAACATATTCCTGAAACCAGTTCTTCTGATTTGTGTTTCATCATCAGTAATTACACGTTAGGTAAAGTACTGGTTAAGCAGTTGCTGGAGCACATCATGTTGAGTAAGGTTGGTCAAACGTTACGGAATATTGACAGCCCTCCTACACTACAACAAACAAACAGACCCAATTCAGAAGTGTCAATCGCATCAAAAGTTTGCCAGCAGTTCACCGAAAACCATATCCCAAGGTATTTCATAACAATGCAGATGTCACAGGCGAATATAAACAAAGTTAAAATATTACATGGAAGAAATACACACGCGTTACTCAGTGCACAACTTCCAGAATCCAGCCGTGACAGGGAGCCAGAATATTATAAGACTGAATATATCTTTTCAGTGATATCAATATAAATGACTGAGTGACAGAATTTCTAAAGTACGCCGATACTGTTTCCATTTGAGTTCTGATAGCATTCGATAGTTAGAGTTCAAGTACAAAGGTAGCTTTGCCATCCATGTTGGTGCTTTCGGCCTTGTCAGTGATACTTGGCCTTGAATTGGAGAAATACTTGCTAAGGTATTCATTTACAACAGTCATATTCCACGCGATGCAAACAGGCGATTGGTACGAAGCAGGAGTAAACGCATGTCGCAGAGTGAACTGTAAGACGCTACATAATAATAAGAGTGTTACATTCAAAACACAGTTGGTAAACTCATACGGATAATTTTTCCAAAAAAGATGTTGATCATTGCAAGACATGAAATGAAGACGGCGGATCTCATCGAGAATTTTCAACCGTTACACTAGATGTTTCAGTTATCAGTAGTACAGACAGAAAGCTACATATCTGATTGTGTGATCAGTCTTCGAGAAGTCCTCTCAGATGGCTGTGACGCATTTAGTCGATACGGAAACTATACTGCACATTTGCTCGTTATCGGCTGTCATCTGGTTGCGCGACACACAGTTAGACCCTTACTAGTCTAGCACATCTTCCCTCAGATATTTTTGCCAATGTATATCTGTGCATAACCTTACAGCACCTGTAACCATATCCATCTGTTAGTCAGTGCAGTAGCCCGACTTCGAAAGTATTTTTACATTTACTTTCACTCCTGATATACTTTATTTCGATCCTTTAAACGGTTTTGAATGAATGAACCTCAGTGTGTGCCTCATTCAGCTTGATACTACCTCAAACACTGATGCCTATATCGACAGCAGATCAAATGAACATCAACTAATTAATGTCTTCAAGTGGACATGTCACTGGTGGTTCATTTCCCTACTGTTACTAAACTGATACGGTGTTGGTACGTGGTTTCAGACCTCCCGTTAGTCAACATAAGTATTATACTGGCTGATTAATAATCCAGCTGACAGATAATTCGTAATCACCAGAACACCATCATCGACTACTACTAAAGCCTGAAAATAAAAGTTGTTCAGTCGCTTGTATTATCACACGGGTCTGCTGTTAAGTAGTGCGTTCTAAAAATACCACAAGTTATCAAAGTGCACAAGAAGTTTGCAAATTCAAATCTTAGAACCATATACTCCCCAAAAATGCGGGTGGATAATGAACACTTGCAGCCGAACCTACCTCATCAACAAGTGTCTGAAGTATGGATATTTTCAAATGAAAATGACTGCTCACGAATTTCGTCACTGGGAAGGCTCGAATGGCTTGCCATGAACCCAATGCCTTCCTTTTGAATGCGTTGGAGTACTTCAGTACGCTTTATTGGACATGGACTGGTCACCTGGATGCAGTATTTCAGATGAAGTCTAATGTAAGTGGAACAGAATATTCTGAAAGTGCTGGGATCAAAACTTTTGAAAGCTGTGAGCATGGACAGCAAAACGGTGAAGCCTTTCGCTGGAGCTGAATAACAGTATACCGAAGTCTTCAAATGGTGATTTGCGATGACAACTAAGTCTCTAAGTTCAGAGACTGGGAGTGGGGTGTACCGCCGATGGAATACCGGAAACAAATTCCATACCCGATGGGCTTTACTGCACTTTTACTAGAGTTAATTTTCACATGCTACCATTTCGACCAGTCTCCCAGCTCACCCGTATCCGCCTGAAGTGCATAGCTATCAGCATTACTAAGTATGTTTCTCCACACCACTACATCATCGGTGAATATCAACCCCGAACTGTTGGGTATTCTGAGAAGCTTGCTGAGGTGCAAAATGGACATTAGGGAACCTTGGGTTATTCGTTGCAGAACTCCGCACGTCATATGTTTCCACGCAAAAAGTGTGCCGTTAACACTCTCTTCACCTTCTATCACACAGAAAGTCTCTAATCCAGGCTTTCAGTGCTCCATCAGAGCAGAAACAAAAAACCTTTCTCAGTAGTTGTACGTGAGACGCCTAATTGAATGCCTTACTGAAGCTTGTGTACACGGCGTCTGGTGGTGGCTTGCAGTCACTGGCCGGCGCCAATTCGCTTCCCATGCTGAGGAGGTTTGTTGAACGGGCTTGTTCAATGGGAAGACCATGTTACTGTGGCGCCAGATACTTAGTAACTATGCTAGTTAGACCAACAGAGCGATGGTTAGCCACCGACCGGTAACCACTGATCTTAAAATCTGGGCTGATTATAGGGTCTTGCTGGTTTTTAGGGAGGTGTCTGAGATTGGGGAATATTGAAAAAATCAGTGGCTGCTTCAACGACAGTGCACACTAGCAAGGATAATAATCTGAGACGCAACTCATCGGGACCGGGAGATTTTACACGCGTAAGATTAATTAGCAACTGGA